TTCAGCAGCCTGTGCTTGCAAACCGCACGAACTGCCTGCATAAAAGAGTCAGAGTTTGCCCTGGCAGGACAGCCCAGAAAGCCGGCATTTTTATTTTTATTTATTTATTTTTTTTTCTATTTTTTTTATTGAGAAAAGGAGAAAAAAAAACAAGTTTCCACCTCCTCCCAGCCTCCCATTTCCCTCCCCCTCCTCCCACCCTATGCCCCCTCCTCCCACCCTTCTCCCCCTCCCCCCACTCCTTTCCCCCTCCCTCTCCAGTCCAAAGAGCAGTCAGGGTTTTCTGCCCAGTGGAAAGTCCTAGGACCTCCCCCCTCCGTCCATATCTAGGAAGGTGAACATTTAAACTGGCTAGGCTCCCACAAAGCCATCACATTACGTAGGATCAAAACCCCGTGCCATTGTCCTTTGCGTCTCATCAGCCCTCATTTTTCGCCATGTTCAGAGAGTCCAGTTTTATCCCATGCTTTTTCAGTCACAGTCCAGCTGGTCTAGGTGAGCTCCCAATAGATCAGCTCCACTGTCTCAGTGGGTGGGTGCATCCCTCGTGGTCCCGACTTCTTTGCTCATGTTCTCCCTCCTTCTGCTCCTCATTGGGACCTTGGGAGCTCAGTCCAGTGCTCCAGTGTGGGTCTCTGTCTCTATCTCCATCCATCACCAGATGAAGGTTCTATGATGATATGCAAGATATTCGTCAGTATTGCTCTAGGATAGGGTCATTTCAGGTTCCCTATCCTCAACTGCCCAAGGAACTAACTGGGGACCTCGGCTTGGGCACCTGGGAGCCCCTATAGAGTCAGGTCTCTTGCCAACCCTAAAGTGGCTCCTTTAACTAAGAATTGTGGTTCCGTGCTCCCCTGTCTAACCTTCCTTTATCCCAATCCTCCTGTTTTCCCAAGGCCCGACCTCCTTCCCTTCTAACTTTTCTCTCCCCATCTCCCCTTACCCCCATCCCACCCCACCCCCAAGATCCCAATTTTTTCCCCGGCAATTTTGTCTACTTCCCTTAGCCAAGAGGATAACTATATGTTTTTCCTTGGGTTCCCCTTCTTACTTAGCTTCTTTAGATTCACCTATTGTAGACTCCGTGACCCTTATTTATGGCTAGAAACCAATTATGAGTGAGTATATCCCATGTTCATCTTTTTGGGTCTGGGATACCTCACTCAGGATAGTGTTTTCTATTTCCATCCATTTGCATGCAAAATTAGAGAAGTCATTGTTTTTTACCGCAGCGTAGTACTCTAATGTGTAGATATTCCATACTTTCTTCATTCATTCTTCCATTGAAGGGCATCTAGGTTGTTTCCAGGTTCTGGCCATTACAAATAATACTGCTATGAACATAGTTGAACAAATGCTTTTGTCATATGATAGGGCATCTCTTGGGTATATTCCCAAGAGTGGTATTGCTGGGTCCAGGGGTAGGTTGATCCCGAATTTCCTGAGAAACCGAAACACTGACTTCCATAGTGGTTGCACAAGATTGCATTCCCGGCATTTTTAAATGGCGCAGCTTTTTTTCTGCTACGGCTGAAAACTGAAAAGCATGCGTTCAGCTTTTCGTCAACACCATTTAAGTGTTTCGTGGCAGGACCTCTTAAGAGCTGCAGGGTTTTGCAGCTGAAGCTGAGTCAGGAAGCCTCTCTTAGATGAGGCGCTTGCTTGCCTCTAGCAAGCAGAGCAGACCCGAGAACACAGCGAGTCTAGTTGCCATCAAACAAATCGTAGCACTTTACTCCAAATGCTCTATTCAAAAGCTCTGTATCCCTCAGGAGCCAGAAAGAGATCGCAATGGCGGCACAGCCCCAGGAAGTCGCACTTTAAAATGACACAGCGTTTTTTCTGCTACTGTTGCCGAATCAGGAAATCTCTCTACAGCATGCCACCAACGAACAGCAAAAATCTGTGTTAAACTCTCTCTCCCTTATTTGTAAGCCTTCTGAGGTTTTTTAAGTGGGTTTAGTCCATCACATCGGGCGCCAATCTGTAACGGCGTAAACAAATGCAGACAGATTGTAAAAAAATATATATCTATAGCTTTAATGTAGAAATAGACTTACAGAACCACCGTTCCAGAGGAGACCAGGAAAGCAGAAGCAATGGCTGGGAGCATGCTCACCAAATTTATAGGCAGACATTAGCCCGAGGCGAACACGCCCCCCAAGGGGCGGGACCTATCCCTACATATAGAGGAAACATAGAAATATCTGGAAGAAGGAAAAATAAAATCAATGCAGAAAATGATTAAACAAAACACAAATTTCATTTTCCTCTTAATATCTCTCAGTTCTGTGTGATGTTTTAAGCAGGAAGCATAGTGATGTGATGTGGTCCTCTATAGACATAGAGTAAATGTATTGTAGATTTTGTTCTTACAAGGGGTGATTGTGAAGGAGCTATAATTACAATAATATCAAATAGGGTTAGACTCGCAGGCAATCACAATGTTTGAGTTCCACTCTCTAGCTCTTATCAGGGAGATCTTGGATAGCTGCTGTAACATACTTACTCGAAAGTGCTTTGGTCTTTCTATCCAGCTGAGATGAGAAGGCATTTATGCACACAGGATCATGTTTAACCTCAGGATTGCTAATGAACAGAAGATGAGGTATTGTTATTATATTGAATGGATAAGGATGGGGGAAGGGATCTAACTCACCCTTTTGTCCCAATGTTCTGTCCGGTCTGGCAGACATCACAGCACACTGGGTTCTTCCATACAAACTCCTGCTTCTGGGTTGCAGATATTTCCCTTTATGTTTACACTAGAAGGTAGCAGAAGGGAAAAGAAAACTCATGAAATAGAGGAAACCAGGATGAGGAAGCACATAAATCCCAGGGGATGGAATGATGGTGCCTTGTCTGTGCAGACGACATCAATGGAAGGTACACAATGATGTTTTTCCTCCTCCCAGGTCATCTCACCACCCTGGGCATATACAGTGATAACTGTGACTGCAGACACATACTGGGAATGTGAGCTTGTGCATTTCCCATTCCCATGGCAAGAACTCCCCTTCTCTGTGTGCACTCAGGCCCCTAATTTCATGCCACAGCCTTCCATGGGCAGCACAAAGGGGGCAAGGGAAATCGGCCAACCACAAAAATACACAGGTTTTGTTTCCTCTCCATTCAGGCCCTGAAAATGATTCTTTGAGGTAGGCATCATTACTTCCTTTCCATACAGGGGCTCAGAGAGTACAATGCGTAGACCCAGGAAATTCTCCAGAGGCACCAGATGAACACAGATACCATCTTAAAAGGATTCCTCTAGCCATACTGGGACAAAGGGAGCATGGAAATAGAGAACAGCAATAGAGGAAAACAGTTTGGGAAAATGGGTGTTGAGCCATACTGATATCGGTCAGCACATGAGTAAAGAACTATGGAGATAAGTAAGCAGTATACTACACACCAGGTCATCATTGAAGAGGACCAGGAGAATTATAACACATAGCCTATCACAGCAGTAAGTGATTAACTTTCACACATATATATCCAGGGACATATTTGCACAAGCATGAGTATATACACAACACACACTAACAAATGTCAATGTAAACACACAGCTCTCACCTCGAAGGAAGAAGAGAGTTCATTCTGGAGTCAAATATATGTGAGTAAACATGAGTGAGACAGGTTTATGTTAGTACAAATTGCAAGTTACAATGTGGAAACAGTTTCATGAAGTTTTTATAATCACAGAATGAAGAAACTATAGTCTCTCCTTAAGTACATGGGTGATAATATTAAGTAGACTGTTATGGTAAAGCAGAGAAACCTCAGCTACAGGCACTAGCTGCTATGTGATGAAAAGCAGTCCTTTGACTGGTAGAAACTTAAAGCTTTGATAAGGAGACATATTCTGATATTTTAAATGTCAGGTCCAACGTCATCTGTTAGTGACAAGGTGTTAAGTAAGTCCAACACAGGGGGCCCAAGGAGTGGCTACTCATGGGCTCAAGAGAACACAAAGGAAATTGTAATTAGGCCCTGGGACTGCGACTTCCACCATCTCCATATCACTGCAGGTCTAAGAGTCAATCAACCAGGCTTTGCAGACCAGCCTCTGCCAAGGAATTCTTGTACACACACACACACACACACACACACACACACACACACACACACACGACACCTCTCATTCTCACTCTCCTAGCTCCCTGGTGTTTACTGAGAGCTCAAGGGGTACAACCACGTTAAAACAGATTCATCTCTGACCACACACAGGATAGTGAGAGCTACAAAATTATGTATGTCTTTTGCGTGTGATATCTGTGACGATGGCCATGGACTTGTCTCTGGGACATTTCTCTCATTTGTTTCTGACTGTCAATAATAACCTGTAAATGCTGATAAGGAAAGGGGGAGAAACTGCATTACACATCAAATGAAGTTCCCATCACGGAATAATCCATGCTTTCAACAAAAAAGATTATATCAGACTTAAGAGTTCCATATGTCTTCCCAGGGCATATGCCTTTGAGGTTAGGTTATGCAGGGCCTCTCATTTAATAAATTATTTTCCTATGATTGTGGTCACATTGAGAAAACTACTTTGCATTCATCTGCAATTATTAATCGGCTTTTATACTTTCTTGTAATTCTCCTTCAATCCATATTTTGCTGTGTGACTGAAATATAAGTATGAAAGATTTGCATTCTCCTAATGAATTTTACACATAACATTACTGCATGTTTTAAAATTGTTTTATTCCACTTTAGTTTTAGTTCTTTCTTAAACGTTAAGATTATAACTCTAGATTTCTAATAACTCGTTCCTGGATGGTATGTGTTTACTTCTTTTTAAGTGTTCAAGTTAACATTTTAATGCCTTTGTTTCAGATATATGTCTTGAAAAAAGCAATCATTTTAGAGTCTATTTCAGTCAGCAATAAGAACATCGGTTATTTTTGGCTTTTGTTTTGTGTTTGGTAAGTTATGTCCATTTACATTTTTTACATTTATTTGTCTGCCTATTTTGTGTGTCTGGCAAGGCCATACATGATCTACAGTGTACTTGTAGAGGTCAGAGGACAACTTGCAGGAGTCATTTCTCTGCTTCCACAATGTGAGTCCTGGGGATCCAACTGAAGTCATCAGAAGCAGTACTCGGGCTTCTATTACACTTTAATACGATCTACATATAAGGTGAGTCACACAGTATACCTTTTTGTCCAACATATTTACTTGTAAACTTTCATTGCAATGAGTCATTGAACTTGTTCATGGCCTCTAGTTTCTGGTACACTATCATCATGGGACCCTCAACAAAACTCCTCTAGGATATCCTGCAGTCACCCCACGTAACAGAGATTCTGCAGGTATTGTTCCCCAGGACCAGTCAATTCCAGCATTCCAGTAGGCCTTAGATGGTGTAGATGTTAGGATGGGCCAAGCCAAGAACCCCAATATGGACCTGGGTGGTAGCTGAGCTGATCAGCTGCCTGCCTAAGGATAGGGCCGAAGCCAGCTCACCTATGCCCATGGCACCAGGCCCAGTTTTCCAATGCCCATGGTGAGGTGTGGGACTAGCTCTCCTGTGAAAGTCAGGGCCAGCTCTTGACACAATGTCCACCAAAGGGCAGAACCAGCTCACTCTGGCCCTTGGATATCATCATTCATGGCTCTTAAGGCCCCCTGTAGTAACATGGGCCACAAACATCAGCACATACCCTAGCTCTGGTAGGACCATAGACCCAACATGATCCTGGCAACAACTCGTCCTTGATGTCACCATTTCCCGGGTGGTTTCACAGACCACACAGATCAGGATGGCACCAGCTGCAGCAAAGCCTTTGGACACCAACGTGGCCTCAGGTGGTGGCCCACACCTCAGGCATCCGCATGGCCTTCATTGGTAACAGGAGTCAGGAAGACAAAGACCCTGGCTACTGCTGGGTCACAGATATGGCCCTGGTCAGCAGCTCAGGCATGGACAACACCATGGCCCAGGTTGGCAGCTCGGGTCTCTCAGATCATTGTCACTCCAATGGCAACACAGCGCTCAGATCCCAACAAGGCCAGAGGACACAGCCCAGACTCCAGGCTCCTGTGTGCCCTTTGGTGGCAGCGTGGACCATGGATGTTAACATAGACCCAAGCTGCAATAAGAACAGAGACCCAGAAATGACCTTTGGTAGCAACCTCGGTCCTGATGACCCCATGACCATGAATGACAAGAAGACCACCCCCTCAGCCTGTTCCTTACCACCTTCTATTCCCCCTCTTTTCACAGCACATGAACCATCCCGCTACTCTTTCTCTCCTGTTTCTCCACCACACATTTTGCTCATTGTAATGGAAGCCTTGTAGCTCTGGGCAGGCCTCTGGTTGTCTACCAGCCAGACCAGGCTTTGAGGACTCTGGCTGGACTGTGATTGGCTAGTACCTTCTGGACCTGGATGCCATAAGGCAGAGTGGAGATGTCTTTCTGCCAGACAATGAGTACAATTAAAAACATATATGTGTAGTGTAAACATTTCAGCTCAAATGTAAAGGGATCCTGGCCGTCCAGATGCAAGGAATACCACAAAGTCAGTATAAGCTTAGCAGCTTACAGATCTGCTTCAGGGAAAGCTTTCCTCAAAGTAACAGCTCTGCTCCATCAGGAAAGTTGTTACAGCTTTGGTCAAATGACAATTAACATATCAAGAAACTGAGAAATATTTTTCCAAGTTATTGTCCTATTTCCCATGGCTACCAGCAGTCAGTATGATAGTTTCATCCCCCACAACCTTGCCAGGTCTTCATATTATTATTTCTGAATATTTTGTGGGGGTGTCAAGAGTCCCCTAGAATCACCTGTCTCTCTTCCCTAAGTGTTAAGGATGTTGATGCTGTATGTTCCGCTTAGTGGAGCATCTACTCACCCTTCTGGACAACTTTTATTTCATGAATTGTGTATTTTCTTAGTGACTCTTTTTTAGGCTTTCTGTATTCTGGAAACAATAAGGCTGTCATCTAATACACAATTTCCTACATTCATTTTTTCCCAGGCAGGGAAAATATCTTTTATATCACAGTGTACATTTTTCACTTTATGGAAGTCCTAACAGTCCAGTTCTTCTTTTCATAAAAGGGGTTTGTTATATCTATGAATTTTGTCTATAATTCTTTCAATTGCTTTCTGTTACAAGATTCATGCTTAGGTTGTATTTTGGATTAATTACCTTTTAGATTTGCTTTCAATATTTACTGGGTATCTGCCTATCTGTTTGTGTGTGCCATATGCACATTTGAATGCAGATGCTTGCTGAGACCAGAAAAGACTGTCAGCTCCCCTGGATCTGGAGTTATAGGTATCTCTGGGCCACCATATGGGGACTGTAAGCTGAAGTCAGGTCCTCTGCAATAGCCAAAGGCACTCTTAACCTCGGAGATGTCTCTCTAGTCCTATGTAGATCATTTGTTAATTTTGGTTGACTTTTGTATCCGGTGATAAACAACTTGTCTATATTTATATTTGTCCATGAGGATGCCCACTTGTCCCATAATAAGACAGAAAAACAGGGCATTGAAGGGGATATGAGAGGGGAATACACAGCCCCTCACCCTGTGATCATTTTTTTTTTTTTTTTTGGATTTTCGAGACAGGGTTTCTTCATAGCTTTTTAGTTCCTGTTCTGGAACTAGCTCTTGTAGACCAGGCTGGCTTCGAACTCACAGAGATCTGCCAGCCTCTGCCTCCCAAGTGTTGGGATTAAAGGCGTGAGCCAACACCACCCGGCCCTGTGATCATTTTTACATTTTTCTAACTGACATTCAAGAAGCCTCCACCCAACTGATAGAGTCGAAATTACCCACAGATATAATGCAAGTAGTACTAAAGACATCCCAAATAGTGTTTAAAAAATACAGCAAATAAACTAGGGTCCGAGGACAGGGTTCATTCTTTAATATCACTGGATGTCTTCCAGAGGATCCAGGGTTGATACCCAGCACCTACCTGATGATTCACAACTGTCTGTACTCCAGTTCTGAGAGATCTCAAACTCTGGTGTCCTCTGTGAGCAATAGGTATTCACTCAGATGGTGCACAGACTTCCTTGTGAAAAACATTAAAAAAATTAATTAATTATGCTTACTTAGGACCAGAATGTTGGCAGAATCACATATTCACCTTACAATTTAATTTACTAAAATTTTTTTAAAAGGGATAAGAACATTTAAAAGCATTTTTATTTTTTACTTTTAATAACCTATTGTATATTTTCTTCAAGTGGAAAAACAGAACCATTTCAAAGACTCAAAGCATGTAATTTTCAAACAATGTAATAATGTAACAATGTAACTCTGAGAACCATAAAAATCTTCACATTTCTCACTCTCCTGCCCTCCTCACACACCCTAATCTCAAGTCTCTCTAGTCCTCACTCAGGCCTTCATTCCTGAGCCATCCCTATACTATGTGAGCTTCTTCCATAGCATGAATAAGCTCACAAGCTTTGCTTCATTCTGGCTTTTCCTGAAATTCTTTTCTGCAGCCTAATCATAGATCCAGCTTTACCAAGGTCATGGTCATCAAAGGAACAGGGTTATCCTTAGGCAGCTGATCACGATGCTGGGCTGTACCTCCTATAACCACCAACAGTCCCAGAAAAACTCGGTGACCAGCATATGCCTGCTTCACTGAAGTGTCTTTGTGTCTTTGCTAAAGGTGTCCCCTCACACGTGTGTGACTCTTCTGTCCCCTTCATATTCTTTTCTGTCTTATTGTAATTACCAATGAGGCACACTGTCTTCATTTCTCTATGTTTATAAGGAGTTTGGGAGTCAGGTGTTCATCCTCCAAGTTTGTTCCTTTTCAAGGTTGTCAATGTCAGGTCTCTTCTATGAGAAGAACAACAAGACTGTAGAGAGTACACACAGAAGGTTGACAAGAAGCTGACATGAGCCCTTGTTTCCAGTATGTGAGTCATCAGTGTCACCAGTGTGTGAGTGTGTGTGTGTGTGTGTGTGTGTGTGTGTGTGTGTGTGTGTGTGTCTGTATAGGAAGGGTCTGTGAGATGAACAAAGAAGAGGAAGATGTCACTGCACATCTTTGACTTGACTGGATGCAGACAGACTACTCCATCCCTATATTCAGTACAGTAGAGTGCATGAGCGTTCTCATCTGCCTTCCTCCCCTCTCCATGAGATTTCTCTCCTCCTTCTCTGCCTTCTAGTAGAACAGGGGAGAAAACAGTGAACTTTCCATGCAGAACCAACTCCTGGAGAAGAACCAAATGTGGTGTGGTCTGGTCAGCCTGTTACCTGAGCAAGAGTGACAAGATCATGTGGGACTCACCAGGTCAGTCATTTCCTTTTCTCTTCCCATCCGTGTGACCAGCAGCAGGTCTGTGATGCCTTGTAGGAACACATCCTGTTGAGCAGGTAGCAGCAAGAGCAGCACACTGTAGAACAATGGCATTCATAGACTCCCCAGATGACAGAAGTCTGCATGGGTTCCTTTAAATGACCAGGACTGAAATGGACGCCATCCCCATCAGACCATTTCCCCGAAAGGGCCATGCATTACTGCATCACATTTGCAGGGAGTGCTTTTTAAAATGGTAGATATCTGTGTCCACGACAGACACTAAATCATGCTTATTAAAATGTTAGATATCTGGGTCCACAACAGACACTGAATCAATACCTGAGAAGTGGGGTGTGGCATAGCCACTTCTTTCTGATGGCTGTCCAGACTGAGAAGCTTCTGTAAAGCAAAGGACACTGTCGCTAAGACACAAAGGCAACCCACTAACTGGGAGAAGATCTTCACCAACCCCGCAACTGACAAAGGTCTGATCTCCAAAATATATAAAGATCTCAAGAAACTAGACCGTAAAAGGCTAACCAACCCAATTATAAAATGGGGCATTGAGCTGAACAGAGAATTCTCAACAGAAGAACTTCAAATGGCCAAAAGACACTTAAGGTCATGCTCAACTTCCTTAGTGATCAGGGAAATGCAAATCAAGACAACTTTAAGATACCATCTTACACCTGTCAGAATGGCTAAAATAAAAAACACCAATGATAGCCTTTGTTGGAGAGGTTGTGGAGAAAGGGGTACACTCATCCATTGCTGGTGGGAATGCAAACTTGTGCAACCACTATGGAAGTCAGTGTTTCGGTTTCTCAGGAAATTCGGGATCAACTTACCCCTGGACCCAGCAATACCACTCTTGGGAATATACCCAAGAGAGGCCTTATCATACAACAAAAGTATATGCTCTACGATGTTCATAGCAGCATTGTTTGTGATAGCCAGAACCTGGAAACAACCTAGATGCCCTTCAATGGAAGAATGGATGAAGAAAGTATGGAATATATACATATTAGAGTACTACTCAGCAGTAAGAACCAAGGACTTCTTGAATTTTGCATACAAATGGATGGAAATAGAAAACACTATCCTGAGTGGGGTAAGCCAGACCCAAAAAGAGGAACATGGGATGTACTCACTCATATTTGGTTTCTAGCCTTAAACCAAGGACATTGAGCCTATAATGAGTGATACTAGAGAAGCTAAATAAGGAGAACCCAAAGAAAAACATATAGGCATCCTCCTGAATATTAACCTTCAGCAGGCGATGAAAGGAGACAGAGACAGAGACCCACATTGGAGCACCGGACATAAATCTCAAGGTCCAAATCAGGAGCAGAAGGAGAGAGAGCACGAGCAAGGAACTCAGGACCGCAAGGGGTGCACCCATACACTGAGACAAAGGGGATGTTCTACTGAGAACTCACCAAGGCCAGCTGGCCTGGGTCTGGAAAAGCCTGGGATAAAACCGGACTCTCTGAACATAGCAGACAATGAGGACTACTGAGAACTCAAGAACAATGGCAATGGGTTTCTGATCCTACTGCACACGCTGACTTTGTGGGAGCCTAGGCAGTTTGGATGCTCAACTTACTAGACCTGGATGGAGGTGGGGTTCCTTGGACTTCCCACAGGACAGGGAACCCTGATTGCTTTTCGGGCTGAGGGGGGGACTTAATTGGGGGAGGGGGAGGGAAATGGGAGGCGGTGGCGGGGAAGAGACAGAAATCTTTAATAAATAAATAAATTAAAAAATTAAAAAAAAAGTATTGCTAGTGGGTTTTACATTCTGTCTTTCAGGATATGGATCACAGACTGCTTAATTCCATACAATGTCCTCTTGTTAATCCCATAAATACCAGTGTGTTACATGGCATATCAAATAGATAAATCAATTCCTTCATGTATGTTTATTCAGATATTCACATAGTGGCCTCTTTTGTGAGCACCGGGTTCCTGCACTGAGAAGACTAGCAGAGTTAGATGGCTAAATTGTCAGTAAGTAGAGGATAGCAGTAATTGCAGCAACTCCATATGTTATTTGTGCTTTAAAGAACTCAAGGTGGACATAAAATGGCTGTGATGGGGATTGTTGTAGGTGGGATTTCCCCCAAAGGTCGGTTTCATCAGGTAGCATTTGACTCGAGTCCTGATTGACAAGAAGAAGAAGGGATATACAAGCCTTGTTGGTGGGCTTGTCCACATGGACCTCATTTGGTCTACGAGCAGAGGACAAGCCTAGAGGCTGGCGGACAGTGTAGTCATGTCGGTGTGAGGTGGAAAGGGTAGATGACTCTCATAGTCTTTCAGTTGTATTATGACTATGAAAGGAAGATTTGGAGAGAGTCACAATTTCACTCTTGTTGTTGTTATGTTATTGTGTGTAGAATGAACTGAGTAGAAACTGTTGCGAGAGTGGGTTGGAACAGCCATTATGGTCAACGGGAGCCATGCAGCTGCAGTGTGTAGAGAGTGGAACCTTTGGCCATGGCTGCTGTTGGCAGGGCAGTGACTGTGCATGGGGCTTATGGGGAAGAGGCGGGGCAAAAATTCCTGGGCTTTTCTGGCTCCATGTCCACATAGTGGTGCTGTTTTCTGATATCAGTTGTTTCTTGTGTTTTTGAGACATTCCCTGGATGGTTTGGAAACCCAATGACCCTTATCGTGAAACTTGGTGATTTAATGACACACATCAGTTGATGAAGAAGCTTCTCTCATCTCTGCAGCAATACTTGCTCACCTTAGTGACACCTGGAAGTGTCATACAATGTTCACCTCCCAGAGGAGTAGTAGTAATGGCACTAGTGGTAAAGGTAGTAGTAGTGATAGTGGTGGTGGTATTGGTGGTGGTGGTGATGGTGGTGGTGATGGTGGTGATGGTGGTGGTGGTGGTGGTGGTGGTGGTGGTGGTGATGGTGGTGGTGGTGGTGGTGGTGGTGGTGGTGGTGGTGGTGGTAATCGTGGTGATGATGGTGATGGTGGTGGTGATGGTGGTGATGGTGGTGATGGTGGTGATGATGGTGGTGGTGGTGGTGGTGGTGGTGGTGGTGATGGTGGTGATGGTGGTGGTGATGGTGTTGGTGGTGGTGATGGTGGTGGTGGTGGTGATGGTGGTGGTAATGGTGGTGTTGGTGGTAATGGTGGTAGTGTTAGTGGTGGTGGTGGTGGTAATTTTGGTGGTGGTGTTAGTGGTGGTGGTGGTGGTGATTTTGGTGGTGGTGTTAGTGGTGGTGGTGGTGATGATGGTGGTGGTGGTTGTGGTGGTAGTGATGGTGGTGGTAATGGTGGTGGTGGTGATGGTGGTGGTGATGGTGATGGTGGTGGTGATGGTGGTGGTGGTGCTGGTGGTGATGGTGGTGGTGGTGATGGTGGTGGTGGTGGTGGTGGTGGTGATGGTGGTGATGATGGTGGTGGTGGTGATGGTGGTGATGATGGTGGTGGTGGTGGTGATGGTGGTGGTGGTGGTGATGGTGGTGGTAATGGTGGTGGTGGTGGTAATGGTGGTAGTGTTAGTGGTGGTGGTGGTGGTGGTGGTGGTGGTGATGGTGGTGGTGGTGGTGGTGGTGATGGTGGTGATGATGGTGGTGGTGGTGGTGATGGTGGTGGTAATGGTGGTGGTGGTGGTAATGGTGGTAGTGTTAGTGGTGGTGGTGGTGGTGGTGGTGGTGGTGATGGTGGTGGTGGTGCTGGTGGTGATGGTGGTGGTGGTGATGGTGGTGATGGTGGTGGTGATGGTGGTGGTGGTGGTGATGGTGGTGGTGGTGGTGATGGTGGTGGTAATGGTGGTGGTGGTGGTAATGATGGTAGTGTTAGTGGTGGTGGTGGTGGTAATTTTGGTGGTGGTGTTAGTGGTGGTGGTGGTGGTGATTTTGGTGGTGGTGTTAGTGGTGGTGGTGGTGATGATGGTGGTGGTGGTTGTGGTGGTAGTGATGGTGGTGGTAATGGTGGTGGTGGTGATGGTGGTGATGGTGGTGGTGATGGTGATGGTGGTGGTGATGGTGGTGCTGGTGGTGATGGTGGTGGTGGTGATGGTGGTGGTGGTGGTGGTGGTGGTGGTGATGGTGGTGATGATGGTGGTGGTGGTGGTGATGGTGGTGATGATGGTGGTGGTGGTGGTGATGGTGGTGGTGGTGGTGATGGTGTTGGTAATGGTGGTGGTGGTGGTAATGGTGGTAGTGTTAGTGGTGGTGGTGGTGGTAATTTTGGTGGTGGTGTTAGTGGTGGTGGTGGTGATTTTGGTGGTGGTGTTAGTGGTGGTGGTGGTGATGATGGTGGTGGTGGTTGTGGTGGTAGTGATGGTGGTGGTATTGGTGGTGGTGGTGATGGTGGTGGTGGTAATGGTGGTGTTGGTAATGGTGGTGGTGTTAGTGGTAATGGTGGTGGTGGTGATGGTGGTGGTGGTGTTAGTGGTGGTGATGGTGTTAGTTGTGGTGGTGGTGGTGGTAGTGGTGGTGGTGGTGGTGGTGGTGGTGGTTGTAGTTTCACCTCTGGGACCTCTGAACTCGCCAACCATGGGATCATGATGAGATTTATAGTACTAGGCAAGTGTTTCCTCCTGTGGAGTGGGCCTTAAATTGAAACATAAAGTTACTTGGTTACCTCTGTGATATTCATGCCACTGTTGACCCATGGGTATATCTTGCCATGTTGGCCATTATTGTAGTTCACAGAGGAATAAGAACATTGACAACTTTCCTCCCCTCAATAGCCTGGTAGTATCTTCTGGTAATAGGAAAACTAGGTAATAGGAAGGAAGGTTTCTGGTCAGTGTCAACTTGATTTCTCCATACCCTGTGGCCAACGTGTGTGGTGTCTTAAGCAATAGGAATCAAGAGCAATGACAATAGGAATCAAGATCAAAACAATACCTGCATTGTTTTGGGGGATCACTGGAACAGCCCTGACCAACAGCTGGAGGGGGTGTTCCACACTTGGCACTGGGCTTTTTAATAATCCATGGCTTCTGGGAGAAGCATCATCCCTTTCGTCAGGTAACTCCAATTAAATTCATATATATTATAAAATAGTAGGTTGGCTACTACTATCACGTCTGGTCTTTAATTCAATCTGTAAGAGAAAATATTCCACATCTCCCTGATAAGTCTGACTTGCTGCACTCACGTGAAGATCTCCATTTTAACACGGACTTTTTAGTCTTTTCCAAATTCTTCCTGATGAGATAGGTCACTGTGCACTTTTCTGTTGCATTCCTGGCCCCAAATCTGGAATCAGCCATTTTCCCCAGGCATCTTTGAGGGGGCAGTGTTTTTAGTGTACTCAATCTGAGCAATGGAGTTGTTGGTGATAAGTAGTTGATTGGAATCAGTGCATGGAATGAGTACTTCTGCATCTTCGAGAGCATAAATGTCAGCCTCTGTCCTGGTTTCTTCCAGGGCACTCTATAGGAGATCATTTTCTTTTCTTGGGGGGCGCTCAACTATCCAGTGTTTCAAAGCACAAGCATACATATTTTATCAATTCTCCCACTCACAATAAAGGTGTGCACTCTCTGTTCCCAATGCACCTTTCTGAATTGATGAAAATGCTCTGCATCTGCACTGCCCAGCCCAGGAAGCTCTAGCTGTCTGTGGCTGTTGGCCACTGGAAATCTGAGCAGTGCTGAAGGTGACACTTATAATTATGGTTAAATTTTGTTTGTTAAAGCTGACTTTATTTATTTTAAATAGGGTTATATAATTTATTAACCTCCATGTGCCGCATGTAACTGAGGAAAACATTAGGCAGATAACCCTGGCCTCATTTCTTCACCTTGTGTTGTGTATTCACAATATATCCTGGAGATCACTCTATAATTATAATCATGGACTTCATGTTGCCTTCTTAAAAATTATTTTGTTTGTTTTGAGATAGAATCTCAGTATATAAGTCAGGTAAAACTTGAGCTCACTATGTAGCTCAGGATAGCCTCAAAACGACTATTCTCTTGTCTTTACCATCAGCCTGTTGGCATCACAGATGCATACCATCATACCTGGCTAAGCACATGCGTACCTAGTCATTTGAGTGGTAGATACACCTGAGATCATGCTGTCCCTCTTTCCTTCCCACAGATGTTTTTCATAGTTCTGCTCTTGGAGTTCTACATTGTTGCTCTGTCAGATTCTTTGTGTCCCCTTCCGTGTTCTTTGGGATGGATCCTTAGAAGAAAGACCCCTGGTCCCAGAATGCACGCTTGTGGTTTTCACTAGCATAAGATCCATCCATAGGCTTGGAGAACAGTTGCATTCTCTCCAGCAATGGAGAAGAGTGTCTTTTTGCTCACAGACTACCCACGTGGAGAGCTGAGAGGAGGTGACTGCTATGTGAGAAACCTGTGGTGAGCATTTCCTGAAATCAGGAGAGTGACATGCTCAGACTGGACCCTCTGCCTGTCTTTGTCTTTGAAGATGTGGTTCCTCTTCCTCTCTGAGTCCTGTGGCTCTGGTTCTAGGCCCACAGTGTGGGAAAGGGAAGTCACTTGCTTGGTGTAACCTCAATGACCTCCTTAAACAAATTGCTTTCTTATAGATCATCCATACATGTTAACTGCACTATCAAACGGAAGCAGAATCAGAAAAAAATCTACTCCGCACCGAGGATAACTTCCAAGACAGACACCACACAAGGTTTATCCTCCCTCCCCTCTGTAAGGGAGATATAGCCAGGAGAAGAGTGGGGCCTGATAGCGAACACTGTGGGAAGGATGGGCCAAATTTTCCTTGGTTTCCAAGGCAGCATTTGTTTTTCTTTGTGGACCAGACAGTTTAAGGCAGTCTCTTTGAATGGTTTCCATGGGAATCCACTTGAGCAGATCAAAAGAGGGAAAAAGGAATTGTGTGAGACATGTAGGTGTGGGGTTAGAATGATGATGCCTGGCACACAATAAACTACTAATTCACAGAAATAAATTGATGACATGGCTGAAGAAATGTATGTGTGTGTGTGTATATGTGTGTGTGTGTTTGTGTGTGTACCTTCACTCAATATTGTAGAATTCACAGTACACAAAGAGAATCATGGCATATTGGTACTTATTATTTTGTTACCTATTTTGAGAAGTATTTTTTTCTTTCATTAAAAATATTAATTTATTCAGGGAAAACTAGCCTTTAGAAAATAGAGCCAGGCGCGCCATCTGGTGATCAAAATGTGAGTTGCAGGACTTCAAGGCAACTATGGAGTTTCCCTATAGGCAAGGTTGGGGCATCAGAGGGCAGTGTGGGGGACCACTCACTCAGAGAACTCAGGGAGTTCAGTGCCCTTAGGATCCCGACATCTGAGGATGGTTAGACAATTATGCAATACATCTGAGTGTTAGCGTGTACGTAGCTGCCAAAGAACCCGTAGATTAATATACAGACTGCAACTTTCCATTCCAGAGAGGATTTCTGAGGTTTCTGGGGTCAGGTCATCTGGGACCACTTGGACATGTGTAGCTTTGCTGTGGGACCATTCTTGTGCATGTTCTCTCGTGTGTACATCATGTCTGAGTCTCTCCCCTTAGTACCTGGGACTGCGGTAGCTGTGGAAGCTTCACATCTGACTGTTGGTCAACACTGCCTAGTTTTTCTACATAGGGAGTACATGGAATTTCTCCTCCAGCAATGTATGGGCTTTTCTTCTGTCACATTTTCCATTTAAATGGGTGTAGCATAGAGACAACTCAGTCATTAAGCTTTCCCTTCTAGAGTATGAAGTCCAGAATTACCCCCAAGACATATGTTGGGGCATCAATCTAAACTATGGAACACACATGGAAATTAGAGAAAATAAAAAGCAATTCTACTTTCTAACACTAGAAGAATATAGACAACATCTACTAAAATTGTGTGACTCGCATATTTTGGCCAATTGGAAACATACATGCATTCTTTTATGGCAGGGTTGGTACATGCACACAGAAGAACCAAGACTGTGGAATTCTTGGCCCATCTGTTGGCTCACCAGGCAAAGGTGCTTACAGCCCAGCCCAATGAGTTTGAGGCCTGGAACCTACTTGGTGGAAGAAAAGAGCCAACTCCTGTAAATTGTCCTCTGATCTTGAACACACTACATCCCAGCACAATAAATATATACAATAAATTCTTGTTAAAGCTATGAATTTTTCTACTGCTCAAGGAAGCAGTCCCTCTTCTCCCGCTGTCCACACTGCTCAGGGCAGAGGTGACCATGTTCCCAGTTTCCCTAGAGCCTTTCCTTCGGGAACCCTGACCCTGAGGCGGTGTTTCACAATGTTCCTTCCATCCCTGCTCTTGCAGGGTGAGGTAAGTGTCCAGGTGGCCGCAGAAATGGGAAGAGTCTGGTCCTCCCAGTGGCTGAGATGAGCAGCCTCTCTTGCCACACAACCTCCACAAGAGGAAGATGCAGATGAGATTAAGAAAAAACAAGGGGAAAACGTGGCAGGAGCCTTCAGTATTCCTTCCATACCAGGTGACAGGCGGGCTTGGAGTCCAGCCCTCTGAAGAATGTCAGAAAGCTCTGGAATTCATGTACTTCCCTGAGCTATGTGGTAGCAGGCCTCACTATGTTTACAGTGGAAAATCCCCGCCAGTCGTGTGGGAGCATAATAGAGACAGTGAGTTTGTATGTGCAGGGGCTCTGGATTGGGGTATGTGATAGGAAACAGTCCTGCTGTTCCCACATGGATCAGGAGATGTCTCCTGACTCCATTTTTAACAGATTATTTTATCACCATGAAATGGCATCTTTTAAAGTTTTTTAAATGCTTTTTTGTTGTTGTTAATGAACAGAAACAAAACTTTTCCTCAAAATATAACAGGACAGGGAAAAACTTTTCCCAATTTTCATTGGTTATCTTTGCCTTTAGATTTACTTTAATCCTGGGGAGGAGGGCTATGTATGTGAATGTCAGTGTCCAGCAGTGTTGGATCCTGGAGGCTGGAGTTGCACATGGTTTGAGCTTCCTGTCATTCGTGCTGGGATTTGAACTCAGGTCCTCTGGGGAAGCAAGTATCGCTCCTAACCAATGAACCATCTATGGCCTCAGCTCCCCAAGGGTTAAGGTTAGGGTTAGAGTTAGGTCCTTCTATGTACCATATAGTATGTGAAGGATTGCAATTCTGTAAAAATCCCTCGGCTCATTTGAGAGATAATCACTGGAAATGTAATTTTTCAAAAGCTTTCCTATTATGTCCAGAAGATGCCACGAACCAGAGTGTACTGATTTTTCTGTTACCCTGAATGCATGGATCCTTGAATTCCCATCAGCCGCCACAGTTCTCATGGCTATAGACCAACTGTCTAGACAGCTTGTGATCCTGCCATTCTGACATGAATCATCAGATGTTACCTGCCTCCACTGGAGGGTGGGGTTGAGACGGGGTGTCTCTGTAGTTTTGGAGCCCTCCTGGAACTAGCTCTTGTAGATCAGGCTGGCCTTGAGCTCACAGAGATCCACCTGCCTCTACCTCCCGAGTGTTGGGATTAAAGGTGTGCGCCACCACCGCCTGGCCACCTGCCTCCAATTTTAACAGATTATTTTTCTCGCCATGGACCATCTATCTCTCCAGCTCCCCAACGGTGGCGTACATAGTTAACTTACTTCAGTGCATTAGGAATTTATTATGGTGGTACCCTGTCTGCATGCGCCACCATCTCATTCTATAGCTGCTTCTTACAAAAGGAAATTCCCCTGTGGATATTTGTGCCCACTCACAAGAAATGACTAAAGGACACTTCCTTTTACCAGTGGGCCTGCTTCTTCAAACATCTTGACAATTCAAATCTCTGAGTTTCCCATTTTAGTAAGTTGCACGATGTTTTCATTTGCCCCAAGTCAGCTAAGCACCCGAAGAGAACACCTGTCTGTGCATGTCTGAGAAATTGATGAGTTCCACAAAACTCTAGCTATGTGCACATCTGATATCCTGGTATAATGACTCAGACTGTATCTTAGAAGCAACTGCAGAATTGGAAGGGAAACCTTACTGGCCAAGTTGTGTTCATATTACCCCTATAAGAGCACAAAGTTGGGAGAAGGTCACCTTATGCTAAAAAAGAGAGAAATTTCCCACATCCTCTTTGCAGAAAATTGGGGAAGCATCAATGTGGGATAAAAGGGAAGCTTTACAGCATAGACCATCCCAGGGATATGCGCCTGGCAAACACAGAGCTCAAATCTCTTGGAGTCTGGAGGTGGTGTGGAGGTTTGAATAAGAATGGTCCCCATAGGCTCATGTATCTGAATGCTTAGTCTCCAAGGAGGGGCACTCTTTGAGAAGGCTTAGATGATGTGGTGTCCTTGTTGGAGTAGATGTGGCATCATTGAAGGAAGTGTGCCACTGGGGGTGGGCTTTGAATTTCAAAATCCCATGTCAGGCCCAGTGTCAGCCTCTCTCTCCCTGTGGATCAGGTAATAGAACTCTCAGCTACTTCTCCAACACCATGTCTGCCTGTGTGCCACCGTGCTCCCTGCCGTGATGGTAACAGACCAACCTCAGAAACTATAAGCAAGGCACGTGAATGCTTTCTTTGATAAGAGTGGCCTTGCTCATGGTGTCTCTTCACAGCAATAGAACAGTGACCAAGACAGATGGTGTTTCATAAATTCCTGTGTGCTCAAGGTCTTTACAGTTTTAGTATACGCAGGTTTGTCCATGAAGAGGGCCAAAAGGGGACTACTGTCTTCTGAAGAGCACATTATTTTAGACAAGTAACTGGAATGGCCTCCTGCTTGCCCCAAATGTCACACAGTAGTCTCTTGTATTAATGACTGACATCTTGGAACAGATTCTAGTCAATGCACTTATGAGTATTCAACCAGCCCCAATTCTCCCTCTGTAGCTGCTAATGGGGCAGAGGAAATCCCTTACATGACAGTGGTAGTTTGAATGAAGATGGTCCCCGTAAGCTCCTATGGTTAATGTTTCAATGGTGAATAATTTAAGAAAGATTAGGATGTGTGGCCCTATTGGACGAGGCGTGTCACTGGGTGAGTTCTGATGTCTCAAAAGCCCTCTGCCTCCTGCCTGTGATCAGGATGTAAACTCTCAGTTTCTGCTACAGTGCCCTGCCAGGCTGCCTGCTGCCATGCTGCCCACAGTGATGGTACTGGACTAACCCTCTGACACTGAAAGTAATCTCCCCATTTAATGCTTTGTTCTGTAAATTCTCTTCAGCACAGCGCCTCTTCCCAGCAACAGAACAGTAGCTCAGACAATGTCCTGTGGCTGTCAATGGACTTGGGGTTCCTGCCTCTTTTCTTCTGTGTTATCTCTTCTTGTAGGGCACAGGGGATAATTTCTCTTTCAATATCAAATTAGTGGCTCCAAAATGATGGTGAGGTAAAGGAAATACTTTGGAGATCTTCCTGCAATAGAGAAGGGGCCCCAATCTTGTTCTACATCGTAAGGGTGAATACATATTACATCTGAGCCATATGCAGAGCATATTCATTGAAAAGTACATGGCAAACACACCACAAACACCATGGAAGCGTACTTGGCAACCACACCACAAACACCAGGTTGCTCTTGGAAGTCCCCAGCAGGCATGGTGCAACACAATGGCAGTGACTGGCCAGGATACAACTTGCCTGGGAGGCAGCGATCTGGGGACTGTACCACAGCCTCCTGGAGAGGGGATATAAAATCTAGGAAATCCATTTATCCCAGTGTCAGGGGATTCAAGGTGCCCACCACATTCATATTCTCTACAGAGCACCACTCTGTATCCCGTGTGCACTGCCCACTTTACACTCAGGGAGGATGAAGTGAGTTGTGGAGCACTACAGTTGCTGCAATCCATAAATGGAACTGCTCTATATGTGTGCCAGCTTTCCAAACACACTAAAAACGCATTGCTATTCCATAAAACTTCAGCCCTTTTAAAGAAAATAAATGTAGGCATGTAGTTTGAATGCCACCTCCTGGCCATAATGGGGACTACATCAGTGAGAGTCTTGGGCCCAGTGGCGTCTATATTTGGGTGGGAGGGAACATTGGCTGTGACCTGGACTTGAAGGGACCTTAGATAAGATAAGGCAGTGTTTTTTCACTTCATTATACTTTCCTGGCACATAAAACTGGACATCTTAGGTATATCAAATGTAAACCCGAGATTGGAGACCAATCCCAGTCTAAGGCTAACATAAAGCAGCCTCATTAGATAGAGATGGTGGAGCTCTGTGTGTAAACACACACACACACACACACACACACACACACACACACACACCACACACACACACACAGAGGCATGCACACAGCATCAGAATAGATTACATTCGTCTTTACTACTCCAGAAACTCAACAAAATGACTACTTCTCCTGAAGTATGGAAGGTGTATAATCATTTATCCAAAGCGCGATTGTGGGTTTGAGCATGCCTGTGAGTGCGTGAGCAATTGTGTGTGTGTGTGTTTGTGTGTGTGCGCGCGCGTGAGGTCAGGGGACAGAAGACAGCCTCCGGTGCTGTAACTCAGGCGCCATCCCCCTGATGTTTTTCTTAGACAAGGTTTCCAACTGGCCTGGAACACGCAAGGCAGGATGGGTTAGCTCGTCAGCACACTCCAGGGATGGGCTCGCCTCCACCTTCACACATAAGCATGTCCCGCCACACCTGCTACTTTTCCTCCTGTAGTTTATCTTCATTTTCTGGATGATGCTCTCTGGGAATGACACTCAAGGCCTCATGCCCACAAGGCCAGCACTTTACTGATTTAGCTGTCTCCCCAGCCCTACTTTTACCACCCAAGCACAAGTATTTTCTCAGATTACACTTTAAAGTACTTTCCTTCCTGGATATGAAATTTCAAACACCACAGGAAAGCACATGTACTACCATAAGGAAATCTGTGTTTGTTGCTGGGCTTATTCCTACCCCTAAGGCACAGGGCTGTCTGCAGGGAAATCTCCTGAGAGTGAGCTATCTGAGTAGAGTCCCAGCCGCCATTTTCTGTGCGCCTTGCTGTATGTGGTGGTGAGGAAGTCACTTCCCCATTTAGGGGATGGTAATCTTTAATGTGTCTGCCAGGGACACACAGGGCTCTGCCTAACATCCAGTGAAAAGAGGATGGTTTCCCATGACAGAACTAAGTTGAAACTTTCCCACAGTGAATGGAATGATAATAGTCCTGATATCTACTTTGTGTGTTTAGTGCAGAGTCTCAGAGCAGCCCAGCCCAGCCTGGGACTCTTCCCCTTCCTCCCTCAGCCTTCAGAGTGCTGCTGGTCTTCCCAGCTTAGCACACTGCTCCAGCTCAAGTATTCATTTTAATGTAAACACGTTCTTAATGCTACTGTTTTCTTCTCGGCCCAGTAACATTTTCATTCCATTTCTACATGTATATGGTTGAATTCCCACGAAATAAGTAATTTTATCATTGATTTCCCTGCAAAAAATTATTTTATAATGATCCACATCTCTTGAAAAACCATGTACTCTAAGATTGTTTTCCTAAGAAATTTCACATTTTCTGAGATATTATTGGTTTTTGTTTGGTTTTCATTTTGAGGCAGGGCCTCTCTATGCTATTCAGGCTGTTCTGAAACTTCTTTGCAGTAATGATCCTGTAACCCCAGTGTTCAAATAGCTGGAAGTGCACGCATTTGCCACATAATGCGAATGAAAACTGTTCTCATTATTGCCTGGCATTTGAGCATTTTTCTTTAATGTTTCACAGCAATTATTTTAATTTGTAAATGATTTTAAGGCAAAGAATGTGCATAACTTAATAATAATTATGTTGTGTATATTTGTGTGTGTATTTACACATTAATGCACGTGCCTACAAAGGTCAGGAGAGGTCATACCTTCCTGGAGCTGAGGTACGGTCCATCACGGATTTTGGAAATGGATGCTGGAAACAGACCTTGCGTCCTCAGCAAGAATAGAATGCACTCTTAACCACTGAACATCTCTCCAGCAAGACTGTAGACTGTTAAAGTCCATTAGCCATTATAATGTTCATATTTTAAATTCCACTGTGTTTTCCCCTTGGTTCAATGACCTGGAGCTGATTCTTCTTTTTTCTTGTTTAGATTTATTTTTACTTTTAATTATGTCTGTCTGTCTGTCTGTCTGTCTGTCTGTCTGTCTGTCTGTCGTATGCACATGATGGGCAGAGGCATTGACTCCTGATGGAGCTGGAGTTAAAGGCAGTTGTGAGCTATCTGCCATGGGTGCTGGGACCCATACGCTCATAAACAGTAATGACTCTCACATCTCTTTCCTCCTGCCTCTACGTCTTGAGTGCTGGTATTACAGGTGAGGGTGAACATGCCCAGAGGGTCAAAGAACACAGAGCAATTTCCATTCTAGGCAATCATTCTGCCTCGAGAGCTATGTCGCCAGTCCCCATACTGTGGCTTTTTAAATTCACCAGTGATTTCTTTTCATGGTATAGCATTCTCATTGAACAGCTACCAGAAAAATCAAGAATATAGCTGGGAATGTCCTGCACTGCCAGGGGAGCCATACCAGTGTCTAGGGACCACTT